AATCACGGATTCCGTTTTAAAACGAAATATATAAAAAGAAACAAACTAACAATTAAGAAGTAAAACCTTTTAAATGAATGAAAGAATTTAAGTTATTCGTAAGGGTGTTGTCGGAAAATTTTTTGCTCGCCTCGCTCTCAAGAGGCCTCCTCTTTTCCATATCGCTCTCAAGAGGCCTCCTCGGGCCTCCTAATGCTTTCGGCAGCCCTTGATGGCAGACAGAAAGGAGAAGTGCGCTGAGCTTTGAGAAAATAACGAAGCCATATACATAATTAATATGTAAAGGAATCAAATAAAGACTCATATATGCCTTTATCGAATCAACGGAGACCAAACTCCTGAATACTTTTGAACAACATCTATTAGGGCATGGTTTATGCTACTAATATAATAAAAAATTTCACTTGAACAACAAAGATGCTATTACTGCAATTTGACAGGGATCTTAGTTTTCATTCGAGATACGGGATATATATATTGAATTATTATTATATATTTATATTGAAGATTGAATTAGGAGCTTTCGATTTAAACAGCCTCAGCCCCATCGAGGCGAGAAAGCTAATTTCGAACTTTTTCATTTTTCAGCTTTGCAAGCTGTAGCCGTACCCCTGCTTGGCAAAGGACTACATTATTCGTTTGTGAATATTGACATTTTCAACATTGCTGGATGGATCGGAATAGTGACGACAGTTTTCAGAATATTCATCACTCTTATCTGGTTCAAAGAACACAACATTGATGTGAAAGACAGCACAGGCAATATCTCATATCCTTTTCCTTTAATATCATGCAGTATATTACAAAATCTTAAGATATTTCATATTCCCCATTCCATTTCTGAATGGATTTTTTCTAAAGAGTATAACGTGCATTTTAATTACGCAATGAATTTTTGCAAATGATGAAAGACAAGTGTAGAAAAATGTTTTCTATATTCTCGGTTTGTTTCAGTCTTTTGTTGGAAAGACGTTTCTGAATTGAATGAAGGTGAATCTGTACCCCGTATACTTTTTTTAAACAAAACTGATTTAAGCAAGTGGGAGCATTACAAAGAGAGTGTATTTCTTCTTCTCATGGTTATATTCAACTAGAAAATTAAATAGGTAGGATATCCAGCTTCTCTAATTGTGTTTATTTATTGCCCACGTGGGTCACCTGATGATAAGGAGGCATAAGACAGGAGTCTTGGCCACGGCTAAAACTGAACGAGAACCCAAAACCATATGCCTAAAATGCACTCGCCACAGGGCTGTGATCTTCTAGGTTCGAATCATATATCAAAAAGAACTTTATGTATTTTCATATATACTGTGTTTCAATTCTAGGTGATCTTCCAAAGCCGAACCTGCGTGCTGCTTTCGTTACGATATTTGCATTTTTCGTCCTTTGTTGTGATGTTGCGATTATTGAAACGTAAGCTGAAGTTTATATTGTACTAGTTTTCAAAAATAATTTTATCATTCTTGTAGCATAAGTGATGGGTGTACAAGCGGTGTTATTCTGTGATAAGGACTATTTGCAAAGGGGAACGTGTTGGTAGAGGAGGTTCGAGGGAGAAGGGGTATGGGTAGAGGAGGTTTGAGGGAGAAAAGATTGGGTCATATAAGAAAAATAAATGCAAATTGACGGTGTAGGAGAAAAGGGGCTAGAAAATGAATAGGAGAGTCTTGTGTCAAAATTAAAGTAGAAGCTGGTAAAAGATGCAGAAAAGAAAAAGGATGAGAAAAATATTTCCAAGTGAGAAACAAACTCTATCTATTTACACAGATCGGAAAGTATTCCTTTGATATAGACCAATTTACAAACTACTATTTTCACCCAATGATGTTCAAAATGTCGTTCAAGATATGTTAATCTATGGCCAATTTTCAATTGGTTTGGTTTCACAATCTAAAATAACAGCAAGTTTTATTTCTGTAACCGTTTTTCTTCTGATGCTCGTAAGAGAAAGATTGGTTTATTCTGTTCTCTAGCCTCTTGACAATGCATCCTACAAAACCGACACAAAATTTCACGAACACCTGAAAAAATATGATTGATAGATGCATTATTCAAGGAACTTTTTCAAACTTTTTAAAAAAGGCTATAGTCTCATCTGTTTATAAGAAAAAAGATTCTTTCAATAAGGAAAATTATTGACCAATAACACTTTCAAAGGTATTTGAAAAAGCAATAGAGCTTCAATTTCTCCATTTCTTGAAGAAAAATTTTCGAAATTCCTATGCGCATATAAAAAACAGTTTGCTTCCCAGCACGCTCTCTTTAGACGTATTGAAGACTGGAAAAGAGAACTGGAAAGGAACAAACATATTGGTGCTGTCCTTATGGATTTGTCAAAAGCCTTTGACTGTCTACCAAAAAACCTACTTTCAAAAAACTATATGCTTATGGTATAGATAGAAATTCTCTTTTACTTATACAAAACTACCTGTCTAATAGAAAGCAAAGAGTCAAAGTGAAAGGTCATTACAGCTCCTGGGGTGAACTTGGACAAGGAGTGCCACAGGGATCAATACTTGGATCTCTACTCCTCAAAATATTTCCTGAACGATATTTTTTACAGCCTTACTGAAGGGTCTTTATGTAATTTTGCTGATGACAACACGATATCTGTCACTGCAAAAAATTTTGATGAACTATTGCAACTTGTAAAAATTAACATCAAAAAATGTCTTGATTGGTTTGAATCTAATGAAATGATTGCAAATCCCTTTAACTTTCAAGCTATCACAATCAGCAGCAAAGATAAATGCATGAATGAGTTTTAAATTGACCAAGAATGTGCAATAAAAAAAGAGAAAAACGTTACTTTGCTTGGTGTTCAGATCGATGAAAATTTAAAGTTTGATGCTCATATCGTTAAGATCCGTAAAAAAGCAGCTAAACAGTTAAATTCTTTAAAAAGATTGGCAAGATTTATGGGCGACAGAGAAAAAGACAATTATAAATCCATTTATACTATGCCATTTCAATTATTGTTCATTGATATGGATGCTATGTGGTAAAGGAGTCAGGATAAGCTAGAGAAAATTAACGAGAGGGCATTTAGACTAGCCTATTCGGACCATTCATCTTCGTACAAAGATTTAATTGCTAACTCAAAAGAAACTACCATACATGTCCAATCAGTTAGAATTTCAGCGCTGGAAGTTTATAAAACACTTGAAAACCTTGATCCTGTTCTCATGAAAGACTTTTTTGTATCGAAAACAACAGGTCATAACCTTCGACTCAAAAACCCCCTGGACATTTCAAAAGCCAGAACTACCAATAATGGGATCAGATCATTAAGTTTTCAAGGGCCTAAAATCTGGAATTCACTCTCGGAATCAATAAATACAGCACAAAATACTAGACAATTTAAGAAGCTGATCAGAGCTTGGTTCTTTGAAAACAAGTGCGCATGCTCGTTTTGCAGTAAATGAACTGTCTTATGCAATCCTTGAAATTACTTCATGTAAGTCTTAATTACTGTATATTCACTATTGTAAAAAACTAACATTAAATAATCTACAATATAATACAATACAATACAATTCTGATTTTCCTTCTAGATAGTTGCGTGACCTTAGTAGTTATTAGCATCGAGCACCACTTGTGATACCAGTAAGCAGTCACCCTCTCTTCAAAGTGATATTTTTCGCTATTTCGTGTCATTTATAGTTATACAAAGTTAAATAATAGCAAACTACGAAAGATGATGATGTGTGTTGTTTGTGTGTTAATTTGTATTTGTTTTTACCAAGCATATTTAGGCAGCTTTTAGGGTAACACTGAGGGCCTTGGCTACATAAAACTGTTTATATAGGTCAACTGTATTGCAAAATTCTTACTCAGAAGCAAAAATTTCATTTTTTAATTTCTTTATTTTTTCATAAAATTTCAAGGCAATTGCGTTACACCTTTCTTATGATTGTTTCATGCCCTCTTATGAAAGATAATGTGTTTATTCATTTTATTCAATCATGTAAATATTTAGTGTTCAGTGCTTCTTTCTCAATCATTTCTAGTATGACAAGTCCATTGCTTGCAGAAGAGTTTGCCCTGCAAAAAGACGAAGCAGTTCTATACGCTGGGATAACCCTGTCTTCGTTAAGTGTTATCAACTTAGCAGCTTATATCATCATCAGACGTACACAAAACAGGTTCCTCACTTTTAAGTTATTTTCTTATTATTTAGCCCAATTCCGAAAAAACTAATTATATATGGGTGATCATCAGGGATGTCAAAAGTATTTCAAACTTGAAGGGGCCTAGGGGTGATGTGGCAATAGGTCGCAGAGAAAGGGTCCTTTTCCAAGACTTCTTCAAACTAACCTCTTAGGAAAAGCTAGGGGCACGTTCCTCAAGTAATGACGCCCTATTTTGGATAGAGATTTTGAAATTATCAACGGCCAAATACCGGAATACCAATCATGCTAGTTGTATGTGCCCTTGTTCAGATCAGCCCAGAGCCTTTTTTCTTTTCCCTCCTCCTCATCACTCATTCTTTGCCACCGCAGTTGTCTACAATACTTTGTCCTCGAATTCATGAGGCTCTCGTACCCGAAGTATTTCCTTAACTTCAAAGACACATCTCAATTGTTTCAAGCTATGGAAGCAAAGTTCTTTATGTCACAGTTGGCTTTCTTGTATTTGTTTCAATAGCTTAGGCCTGTGTTGTGTGAGCGGGATTGCCCAACCATTATTACTGACATTTTCCATCTTAATCACAGCACATATTTTACTTAAAAAAAAATTCTTTTAATTCTAGTATAGGCAACAAAAGGTCAACTGATTTGTATGCATTAATCAGACTTTAATACAAAACATAAAATAATATGTTATTTTTCTTAGATTTCGCGAAAGGTCCATTCTTTTTGTCGGGTTCGTCGTCTTGCTCTTGGCATTTGTTATCTTCTTGCCTTGGGGAAGTGAGCACCATAAACTTCAAACGAAAGGTGCGTTCACAGAGCTTTAACCTTGTCTACACAAAAGCAGGACCAGAATTCTTTTGAATACGATCAAAGGTGCTTAAATAGGATCAAATCCAAAACCTATTACAAAACCAGGATTGGACCAAGTTGAGATCCATTAGCGACATGTATGCGCATTTTAAACTTTTTTAGCAACGCTGCATTTAGAGAGAACGTGAAAAACGATTTATCAGAAGCAATATACCCTCAACGGAAAGCACAATTCGCCAAAATGTTTGGAAAAAAAGAACTTCCACCCTGCGTAAGGATCTTGCTAATAAAGCACATTTGGACCTGAAACGGCTGTCTCAGCCCAAAATCAGGAAAATCTTAACAAGGGGGTTCTGCCCACTGCACTCAGCCCCCCTCTCCCTAGCAATTACTGCTAGGATCGAACAGTTTCTATATAGGGATGCCACGTATTCACTCTCCTGTAAACAGGGTTAGGTTGGCGCAAAAGGTTAAACAATCACATTTTCGTACGTCTGTTGGTTATAAACGTTATAACCGTTATAAACGTCACGGTTATAAAAATATTTCTAGAGAGATTTCTGTTTATTAATTATCAGCTACATTTTTATGAAAGGTTTTCCCTGGTGTTTACCTTTCAGTGCAGTGTCCATTTCTTCACAAAGAAGTTACTATAATATAATTATTTGTTAACTTATGAAATTACTTACCACTTTAAACAAACATATGCGCAACATTTTACGATATAAATTTTTGGAGCGTTTGTTCTATTCTTTTTCTGTAGATCTAAACAAATTTTGGTTTGTCTTTTCAGAAGTAGTTATTGTTGGAAATGTTTCAAAGATAGTATTGTCTCCCGGTTGCCCAATCAAGTACAATTGGTGCAAAACCACGCCCAAGATACGCCCAATACAATTTGCTATTGGGATTTTTTTTGCATTCGTTGGATTTGTTATGCCCCAGTTTATCATCAATCTACTATACTCGAAAGTAATTGGGCCAAGGAAACAGGTGAGACAGCACTATATTTGTCTTATTCAAGAAGATTATTCTTTATAACACTAACAAATGTATCATCAAAATGTATTGGTCAAGGAACCATGCTATCAGCAATAGCAGGGACGGCCACTTAAAAACATGAAAAAGGAAATCTAGCAATAGAAAGGCATAATGGTGCTAATATCGAAAGTCAAAAAAAGCCCATTTACTATCTGTATCTAAATTCTATCAGATTTTATCCTCCAAATTGATGAGCGTATTTAGTTCATACCATATTTATCAGCGGCATCATGCTCACTGAATGGCCAATACGCTTTGAAATCGTACCATTGTCGTCTCAATTGTGTACGTCTTTATTCATTGCCGTATTTATCAGAGGCATCATGAATCCTGAAGGATCTTGAGGCCATCACGTTATGATATCTCACCGCTTTCATCTCAATAAGTTAGCGTGTACGTCTTTATTCCATTCGTATTTATTAGCCGCGTCGTGTACACTGCAGGCCAATACGTTATGATATAACACCGCTTTCATCTCAATAAGTTAACGAGTATGTCTTTATTCCATTCGTATTTATCAGCCGCGTCGTGTACACTGAAGGCCAATACGTTATGATATCAGACCGCTTTTATCTCAATAAGTTAATGTGTACGTCTTTATTCCATTCGTATTAATCAGCCTTGTCGTGTACACTGAAGGCCAATACGTTATGATATCACACCACTTTCATCTCAATAAGTTAACGAGTACGTCTTTATTCCATTCGTATTTATCAGCCGCGCCGTGTACACTGAAGGCCAATACGATATGATATCAGACCGCTTTTATCTCAATAAGTTAATGTGTACGTCTTTATTCCATTCGTATTTATCAGCCGCGTCGTGTACACTGAAGGCCAATACGTTATGATATCAGACCGCTTTTATCTCATAAGTTAATGTGTACGTCTTTATTCCATTCGTATTTATCAGCCGCGTCGTGTACACTGAAGGCCAATTCGTTATGATATCACACCGCTTTTATCTCAATAAGTTAATGTGTACGTCTTTATTCCATTCGTATTTATCAGCCGCGTCGTGTACACTGAAGGCCAATACGTTATGATATCAGACCGCTTTTATCTCATAAGTTAATGTGTACGTCTTTATTCCATTCGTATTTATCAGCCGCGTCGTGTACACTGAAGGCCAATTCGTTATGATATCACACCGCTTTTATCTCAATAAGTTAATGTGTACGTCTTTATTCCATTCGTATTTATCAGCCGCGTCGTGTACACTGAAGGCCAATACGTTATGATATCACACCGCTTTCATCTCAATAAGTTAACGAGTACGTCTTTATTCCATTCGTATTTTTCAGCGGTGTTGTGTACACTGAAGGCCAATACGTTATGATATCACACCGCTTTCATCTCAATAAGTTAACGAGTATGTTTTTATTCCATTCGTATTTATCAGCGGCGTCGAGAACACTGAAGGCCAATACGTTATGATATCAGACCGCTTTTATCTCAATACGTTAATGTGTACGTCTTTATTCCATTCGTATTTATCAGCCGCGTCGTGTACACTGAAGGCCAATACGTTATGATATCACACCGCTTTCATCTCAATAAGTTAACGACTACGTCTTTATTCCATTCGTATTT